AGATCTGTGATAAGAAGGCGGCAGTAACTGCAAACTAATGAGCAGGAGCAGGGAGACCGACGGCTGAAGTCAGACCTGAGACGACTGGTATAGATCAGGAGGCAGAGAAACTGCCTGTCAAATTCCCTGAGGGACTTTTATTTTCCATTGATAGCGGGGGTTGTGAACTCATTGCGTATTTCAGATATGTATTCTTTCGAAATTTCCAGGGAGAAATGAGCTGTGAACCAGCCTGTCGTCACAGCTGAGTGCTGACCAACCCTGCTAACAAACGTGAACTCCTGTTGGCAGGAAACCAACATGTGCCAACAACACAGCAGTGACAGTGGAAAGGTTGGTTATCAGAGGAGAGGTGATAAGGTGTGTTAGTGCCTCCCACACCACAACAGCACAGTCGTGTTTGTCACGACGAGTACAAACCACGACTGAAACTACACTAAACTACAGCTCTAGACCACCTCAGCTACAACTAACTGGACACTCAGTTCCCTGAAACTGTAGTACTACAGTGAGTACCAAAGACTCAGTAGGTATGAGGTGTATGAATGCACACACAGTATCTGGCACGTACCATTAGCACAGGGGTTGCTGCTGCAGCGGTCCAGTCTCTTCTCACAGTTGGAGCCCGTGTAGCCCTGTGGGCAGCGGCAGCTGTAGCCACCGGCCGTGTTCTCCACACAGGTTCCTCCGTTGAAGCACGGTCTGTCTGCACACGTCATGGCGCTGATCTCACAGTTGGTCCCGTAGAAGCCCTGAGGGCACGCGCACACGTAACTGTTTACCATGTCCTGTGAGAGGAGGAGACAGGAGTGAGTGTGTGAGCTGAGTGCCATGATGAGGAACTGAAGGGGGCAGAGGGAACAGCACTTGGACTTACTTTGCAGCTGCCGCCGTTCTTGCAGGGATTGCTGTCGCACTCGTTTGTCTCACTCTCACAGTCTTTGCCGGTGAAGCCGGGCCGACAGGTGCAGGTGTAGCTGCCCTGTCCAGTGTTGGTGCAGGACGCGCCGTTCTTACAGGGTTTGTGGTTGGTGCAGTAGTTCAGGTCTGGAGAGAAGAGAAGAACATGAATAAGTATGCATGTGTGCGTGTGTGTGTGTTGTTGTCGCTTTGGTGTGTGTGTGTGTGTGTGTCTGAACCCACCTTGGTCACAGTACAGGCCCCCCCATCCTTCCTTGCAGTTGCACTGCCACGGCTGCTGGCAGGTCCCATGGAGGCAGCCTGGGTGACGGGCACACTCGTCACAGAGCGCCCCCTGCCAGCCCTGTCTGCACACACACTCCCCTGGAGACTCACAGAAACCGTTCTTACTGCACCCAGTGGCACAGATGGCTGATGGGAGGAGGGAGGTAAAATAGAGGGAAAGGGAGAAAGGGAGAAGAAGAGAGAGGAGAGAATATTAGTAAGGAGTGGGTCTCATGTTCTCCATCTAGATCAAAAAAGAACTGTGTCCCCCACACCGGGCCTCACACACACACACACACACACACACACACACACTCTACAGGAGCTTGTTAAGCACTGGGTGAGGCAGCTGGCCCTCACAACAAAAGCAACACATGCCGTCTCCTTTCACGCAACACAGCACACATTAAACTGCAGCGCGTGTCCCCGGTACAGCGGGTGTGCCCAGCCCGGCCTGAGCTGGGGCCCATTGTTGGGCTCCAAACAAAAGGAGCCAACACACACTGACACGCACACACACACACACACACTGAATCTGACAGAAGCTCTTAGATCTTTTTTGTTCTCCACAGCCACCAGGGCCAAAACAGTGGCACTGACAACTGCTTGACTTGACAATTTACACACACACAGAACACACACTGACACGTCGTGGCTTCTATTTTGCACCTCCTCCTTTTCCTCCTCCTCGGAAGAAATGTTGGATTAAGACAGAGGAGGGGGAATTTTCCAGGATGATAACTTTTTTTTTAAATTTTTACATAACTTTCCTGTTCAACTACATGTGATCACTTCACCACTAGCTGGTGCTCTTTCCTACACAGTGCACTGTTATGAAGCCCTTCCTTTAACTACAGTGTCACATGGAGGCACAGTGACAAACACTGTTTGTGTGGCTGTAACACTCACCATCAGAGCAGTACTCTCCGCTCCATCCATCCAGGCAGCGACGTTTCCCCTGCTCGTCGCAGGTGTAGTGGCCGAAGGTGTCATTGCGGGGCCGACAGTAGGCGGAGCAGGACTCGCCGTGGTAGTGCTCATTACACACCACGTGGTAAGAGTAGCGCAACTCACTCTGGTCACCAAAGTGGACGTCCTGGGACCACTCCTCTCCTACAGCGAGGTGACGGCGTGTGGCCAGGCGACTGATGAGGTTGTTCTGGTTTTCTGGAAAGGGAGTGGGTGTTTAGTGTTTATAGTTCTTCACACTCACACGTTTATTTATATATTTAAGTTATATTTTGTTGTTCTTAAACTATTTCTAATGTTACATTAAATTAGTTTATGAAAGGTCACAGGTTCATCTGTTTCCAAAGGAAAAACTTGTTACTAAGGAAACGGTGTTTTTGTCTCCACCTAGCGGTAAAAATCAGACGTTGCAGCAGCAGCAGTTTTTTTTTACCTATGGACTCCGGTCCCGTCGACTCTGCGTTCCAGGCTTCAATGATTAGAGAAAATGTTCCCTGAGGAGAAGGAGCAAAGGAGTCGGTGTGTTAATTTGGGGAATAAAAAATATGTGAACATCAATGTTGATGTGTGAGTGTACGTGTGAGTGCGTGCGTGTTTGCGCGCCTCTCTCACTTACCGGCCACTTAAACAGAAACGGAACCTTGATGGGCGCGCTCTGGGAGATGGTGTTGGCGTCCGCGTCCATGATATCTGTGAGCTCGGTCCCGTACGTGCACGGAGGCTCCGGGTTGATCACGTCCTGTGAGTGTTTGAGGCACACGCGGAAAAAGATCTGGCAGCTCTGGGACGAGGAGCGACAGATGCCCCGAGAGGAGGCGAAGGAGTCGATCTTCAGCTCGAAGACTCCGGAGGAGAGAGCCTGAGGAGGGTGAGGAGGGAGGGGGGGGGTCATTCACACGTATTTAGAAAACAACTACAAAATCAGCAGCACAAACAAAATAAAATAATTAATGAAAAATGTATAATAAACACAAAAGAGTTGCGTCTGCGAGAAAATGCGCAAACCGC